TATATATATATATATATATATATATATATATATATATATATATATATATATATATATATATATATATATATATATATATATATATATATACACTTTAAGATATTTGGGGAAAAATAATTTAAAAATCTGAGAAATTTTAAAGTTGAGAAAAATCGATTTTTAATTGTCAACCCCCCTTTTTCTAATATATGAAGAAGTTTGTGAAACAAATAACATTGTGATAAACTTTTGTGACAATCAATCACATTCCACTTCACTAGTAAATCATTCATGTATAAGATTTCAAAGAGTTTTTCTCTTTCATTATCTTAAAACTTATTCGTATCTTATCTTATTTGCTATTATTCAAGTAAACAAGCTAGAAATGAAGGAAGAATGAAAAAGAAAGAAAGAAAATAAAAGGACAGATGACAGATGAAAAATGATCGATAAATGGACTTGTATGCTAATAGCATATAAGCAGGAAGGCTTATAAGCTAGACTGAATGAATGATGAAAAATGGAACCAATATATAAGTCAATTTTATTTTATTAAAGTATTTGTTTAGATACTTTTCGATAATTCATTACTTATAAATGATGAAAATGAAATAATGCAAAAAGGTTGAAATATTGGAATTACAATACAGTTTTCAATTGTTCTTAATCGATATTTAAATTGGAATTTAATTTGAATGAAATAAAATAAGAATAGAATGTTATAGAATGGGATAGTTGACATATGACAGAGTCGCAATCACTACATTTCTAGCTTACTTAAATCGTTTCTCATACAAATTGATTCTAATGCTTCTTTTTCTTCCTTTCTTCTTTTCTCTCCTCCTCTTCTCTTCAATATTTCCTTCCATCTTACTCTTCTTTCTCATTTCATTTTTTCACATTAAAGTTAAGATGAAGGAAAAATTTGAAATTTGAAATGAAAATCTGAAATTGAAATTAATTGAACTATATAATCATTGAAGTCAAAAAATTATAAAATCTTCACATTACAAAAAAGATACTTAAATTTCTTAAATCCTTAAATCTTATTCAATTCAAATGATACGATTCTGTAATTCGATTTCTGTAATTTCTGTAATTCTGTAATTCAAAAGATTCTGCTTTTCAAAATATATTTACGGTAGATAAATGATAGTAATTAAGCAATGAATGATGATAATCAGAAATTCGTCTTGAATATGGAATTGCCTTTTCATACAGATTAATCAGTATGCTTAAATCAATTCTGCCTGGTTCACGAATTGAGACGAGAGTAATTCACCGTCAATTTGATAGGATTCCGAGTGGTAGATTTACAGTATAGCTAGCTTCATGAGATCCGCTACAGAAACATAACTTCCTAGATTTTAATGAGTTAATGTAGAGTTAAAAGGCTTACAGAGAACGTAAGGTAAGATATCACAAAATATTAATCATTTTCCTATTTCATGAGCGTTTCCTGCGATGAAAACTGCAAAGTGTATCATTGCTAATTCCTTTTATGTCTGATTAAGTGACTTTAAGAATGTGAGATTAGCAAACAATTCAAAAGTATCTTTATACAAGATTAAATATTAGTCAACCAGAATTTATGCAAAATATTTTCTTAAAACGATTTTATAAATGAAGGAAAAACACATCTCATTGCTTTTGTATTTTTTACAGTTTCATTCTTTTCATGAAAGGTTTCGCATTAAGCTTAATGCACCTTGTTTATACCCGGTACCAAAGTGATTCCTGCAAAAAAATCAATGATAAGATAAAAAAGTGAAAAAAAACAAAAAAATCAAGCAGCATCAACAACAGCGTTTCTAATCTTGATAAAATGATTGCCATTTTGTTAATCCGGACCAACGATAATCCGACATCATTCACATAATCTTCTTTAACTGATAGAATATTCAAATCTCTAATAAAAGTGTTGGTCCACTGTGAATCAGCTACCTGATTCAATGACGAAAGAAAATTTAATCTGGAAACATTAAAGGTTTAAATTCATCGATAATGATCTTGTATTTTATAAAAAATTTGATATTTCGTTGTTGTCCAGAACGGAAATAATAGAGCTGACCGAATGTTCAGTGCCCTCTCTCTCTTTCTCTTCAACAATGATCACTGTATGGATGTTAGGAGCAAATTTTTCATTCCTAGCATCCATATAATGATCAATTGTTGAAGACTCGAGTAGTTTCAACCTCTGACTTCATTTGCTTGTAAAGGTTGTTGAAGATTCGTATTAACAAACGATAAATATATTTATGGCCTGGTTTGGAGTTTTTGAAATATGTCTAACCAAAATTTTACTTTCTAACAATTAACAACAACGAGAGGTGTTCAGATTTCATCCTTCCCATAGAAGGGATGAAAATTGGATCGAAAGATACCAACCAATGATTCAAATGATGGAAAAGCTGATAAAGAAGCACACGTTGGTTGAATCCTGTGGTTTGCGGTATCATTTTGTGGTACGCTGTGTGAAAAGCTTGAGGGAAACCACCGAACATAGTCAAGATGCCGAACTCATATTCGCTATGTCCGTAAAAGGATGCTGGATCGAACACTACTAAAATTTTGAGAAATTTTAAAAGCTGCTCCTCGTTTCTTTAAATCCGAACCAATCTCTTCAAAACAGACGAATGGCCCTGTCTACGGTCAGAAAACTACATTATTAAATAGGTCAAACGAATCGTCTATGAAACAGGCCCAACCTGGCCCATCCTTGGTGAACGAATAGTTACCGGACCAAAGATCACCATGTAACAAGCACGGATATATATCACAATCCTTGAAATATTCCGGAATTTTTCGTTCCAATTTTGGCCATAATGTCAGCAATTCCCGATCACCGGTTTTCTAGAATAATTCCGTCTGCATCAAAATTATAATTCTAAACTTAAGAAAAAGGTAACAAAGTATTGCGAAAATCATCGAGGGATCAGAAATACTAACCTCAACAATGATATCAATAACCTTTTTCAGTCGATTTCGCGAATAAAATTCCTGAAAATGTGAAAGTCAGAAACTATAACATATATTAGTTGAAATGGAATGAGATCGGCTTCTTATTTACCTTCTCAGCAGTCCTTGTACGAGCTACGTCTGACGTTTAATCAGACTTTCTCATACAAAAGTGTTTTATGAGATGATCCACCAAGTGATCACAAACAGTCCTCGTCATTTAACACTTTATCCTATCAAACACCTCCTTTTGAACAACCATAAGAATTGTCTGATACTTCCAATTGGCATTCTTTGAAATTTATTTGAAGGAAAGCGGTTCATGTATGCTAGAAATGTACGAAAAAAACTTACCACCCAATCATCCGACCAATCATTAATAAGCGGGCAATACCCACTATATGTAAGTATGTCAAATCCAAATTTTTCAATTGGTTTTGGATGTTTATCAGCACCGCCAATTGTTGACTGGCTACCTTTACTTGCTTCCAGTAAGAATTTGTTATGTAAATGTAATCTGAAATATTAATCAGTAGCTCTATAAATATCTAGAATTATCACTGTTAGTAATCAAGCCTTTTCCGCTTTATCATCTGTCATCGGTTTTTCTTAATGACACTCACAATGATCTCAATTATCCATTTACCATAGAAACTCTAAATATTTCACGAATGAGTATTTATTCCTTCCAAGATATCCTTCTTTTTGGTAGAATTCATAAAAGCAACATTTCAATTTTGAACAGAAAATTTTATGTTCGAAAAAATTCTCATCTTATAATGGAAAATGCTTACTAAATTAATATGATCTAGATCAGTATAATAAAGGACAGAAGGTTGCCTCATTCCCCAGAAAACGAAGCTGAGATAATCTTTTTTTTCTCCCTGATTAATTCTTCCTAATTGTTGGTAAAGTCTTAAATACTATGAGTTTCCGGTGATTCGAAATTGGGTGATGAAGCACGCTCCTTTTCTATTACACAAATTTAAATCTTATGGATTAAATTATTTAAAATAAAGCAGTTTCACTAGTAAAGCTATGCAAGAACAGTGTTTATCCGGAATACAGGAAAATACTAAACTTGGCGATACTGGTACCAAGTTTCTCAAAATCTGATGGACCATGCATATCCAACAATTCCATTGCCAAGCAACATTCACCGCCTACCGAAAATCTCTGAAAATTAGCATCAAGACTTAATGATAGTGGCCATACAGTAAAAAATATGGCCCAATCAACACATTCCTAGTCCGAATTCTAATCCTACCATGAATTTTATTAAGGTTAATCACGCAAAATAAAACGGCTATGTTATGTCGAAAATAACCTATTCATGATTCCTCGAGAGCAACAAACCAGTCGCCAAATCAGTTCAACCACTGGTTAAACAAAGTAGTTGTAGATTACTGATTATTCGAAAAAACAGTAAAGTGTTAAACTTGGCGGTACTGATACAAAGCATTCTAAAATCTAGACCACCATACATACCCAACAAATAACAGGAAAAATAATACTGAAGTAAAAAAAAAAAATTCCAACTCATTACAAAGCTCAGAAATACTGATTTTCATTAAAATTAAAACTTTTTGAACTTGTAAATACGCGTATACTCCAGATTTCACTTTTTTTTTTCTTTTTTGACGGTAACTATTACCTTGATTGGTTTCGGTACTCTAATTGTATTCGTATCTAACAACGCTTGCAAACTCGCAAATTCACCATCAAACATTTCCTGCGCCTGCAAAATTTGCTCCATATCATAAATTTTAAAATATGAACATTTCTATTCCTTAACTTTTCCTGATTTTAAACAAACAAATGTCGTAACAAAATTATAATAATAGCTATAAAGACTTGTATACGCGTAGTTAAGATATAATTAGGTGAAGAAATAATCAATTATTAAATAAAGGAAACAATAGTTGCTAATTTAGGATTTCATATGAAATTCTCTTCAGCATTATAAATCACCAAAAACTTTATCATTGGTGTTGTTTGATAATTCAAAAATCCAAAAAAAAAAGTTAAATTTTGTTAACTATCTCCTGAAACTATTAGCATTTTATTTTGTACAACTACTGATTGTAAAATAATCATAGAGATAATTAGGAGAAAAAATAAACATGAAAATAATCAGTAAAGTTTGAAATACTAACCTTTTCGTTATCATTAAATTTCACAAAAATATCACCATATTTATCAGTGCTGTATGCTTTAGCTCTATTAATACATCCGCCACTGAATCTGAATCTTAATTCCTTGATAGTACCAAGGTTAAGTTCCTTTTTTATTATTTCCATAATTACCTCAGAATCCATCGAATGTAACAATGAAACAGCACGGCAAAGAACGCTTGGATTTATTTTCATTGTTAGGAAGAAACAGGGGCCACATTAATCATTAGCACTCTCGCTTCAACTATATTGCCATCATTTTGTGATATATATGTTTGTAACAGGGATTTTCCATAGATTTGAAGTTTAATTAGATAGTTTTTACAAATATTTGAAAGAATAAGAGAAAGCATTGCTAAATTTATTCAATGGTCACTCATTTTAGCATACATCATAATGACCATATAGTTAAATGTCTCGGTTTAATGAAAGATGAGATGAAATAAAAGTTAGCTTGTATTCCTCTCTCTCTTTTACATTCCATCTCCTCTCCATTAAACTCTTAAGATTGGTCAATTTTTGGTTGACAATAAATCTGGCTTACTTGAATTATTCGATTGGTCAGAATTGATTTAATTAATCATATTAAAAAGGGTCAGCTATGAATTATTTTCAGAGATTTTTCTATGCGATTGTTTTGCAAATATACGTTCAAATATACATTATTCTAATTAGCCAACTAATCCTTCTCCTTATGTTTTAGAAAGTAATGCGCATTACAATCATATTTAGAAAGAAAAAAAATTTACGATCGCACATTTGAATAGTTTTTAAGGAAAAATGATTTCAGAGAAAAAGAATCGCTTAATTTCATTAGAGATTTTCGATACCGCCAAAGTATCACATCATTGACAATTTGATGCATACTGATCATTTTAAATCTCTTATCTAAATCTCCTTGATCGAAGTAATAAAAACGAAAGTCATAAAACGAAGTTTGCGTTTAATTTTTGTTGAAGAATTCAGAAGTGATATATAAAAAGGAAGCAATTCGAAGAGAAGTAACAACTCATTAAAACAATGATTTCCAATCGGTGGTTCGCGAGAAATAAATGGCGAGCGGATACGGCGGTGCGATGAGTAGAAAACAGCTGGAAGCTATTTTATATTATTACTCTAAGTTTAATTAATACGTTGAAAAGTTTGAGTTGTTTTACATTACTACTCTAAGTTTAATTAATATATTGAAAGATTTGAGTGAAGTTTATTTTCAGTTTAACAGGACTTATTATTTTTGAATCTTGTGATTTCTGGGCAAGAAAAGCTTGATAACCATAACATTAAAGAAATGAAATTTTCACCATTTCTTTGTCTTCTTCTTTCCTAATCTTCGATATTCTTTTTATTTTTCTTATAATATTAGTTTTTCTTTTTCAATTAACGGTAATTTAAAGTATTCTATCGTAATGATTCAACGTATTATGATCTGTATTTCTTTCATTCCTCATCTTTAATGTGCTTTATGATTGTCGCTCTGGAAGTGTACTCATGTGGCCCAAGTGACAACTATCAACTATCAATTTTGCGATTCACCAAACAAACCGGAAAAGAAAAAGGACTCATTCTACGATGCTGCAAACAGCAACCGGTATCTGATGATTGTCGCTATAGCTATATTTCACGAACGAAGATATATCAAGTGCTATACCTTTGCCTCCGCATGTGCGCTGATGACCAAGAAGACTAATGCGGGATAAACATCTGTAGTATCTTAAAAATGTCCACAATAAGTTCGGTTGCAAAAGGCTAGCAGAAAGTTTCTTAGGCGGCATTGACGGGATACGGGATTTTGCGTTATCTTTTGTCCTCGAGGTTGATTCTGTGTGGCTTCTCAAAGGAAGCAATTATGGAAGAGCAGCGTTTCACATCTCCCGATTCGAGGCGAGAGTAGACCATTGATGGTGATCTGTATGGCTGAGGCTGAAGTTTTGCTTCAGGGCGCCCTTGTGTCTCCTCTTTAGGGCTCTTCTTTTGAAGCCAGTGGTCAGTTCATCATAGAGCGAAATCTGGGGAAAGACAGTGATCCTCCATCCTGGAAGCATGCGCAACAACGTTTTCAACAGTAACGCCTCAGTACTGATGACCCCTGCCTGTATAAGAACAGTAACATTAGTGACGTAATCGGACTAGTGGATGTTTAGGATTGAGCGGAGGCAATGCTGGTGGAAGCGTTCGAGAAGTCGCAAGTAGTAGCGGCAGATGACCCATGATTCAGATTCATATAAAAGGATAGACAGTACAATAGCTTTATAGACACTAATCTTTTATAGTTCTTTTCAGGTGTTTTGGACTTTTAGTCGTTTCAAGTTGAGTAAACTTCCGTCGGTATGACGTCGGATGTAAATGCTGTTTTCTTCATCTAGAGCTGACCATGGGTCTTTGGAGCTTTTTGAAGTTGTCGGAGCACCATATCAGTACTACTGTTATTGGCTCTGAAGCACATTGGATTTCAGGTAGAACTTCTGAGATAGCAGGTACCGATCTGTTCAGCATATTCTTGCAAGGATTTTGCTAGCAATAGAGAGCATGGTAATGCCTCGGTGATTTGAGCAATCTAATTTTACTCCTTTGTTTTTGTGTAGATCTGCATCATGGAGATTTGATGGTAATTTTTTTTCCTAACTGCACACAATGGGTGCTTGAAACTTAGCATGGAGTGTTTGGCATCCATGCTTTTAGACCTTAGTGGGATACCATCAATCCCAACTTGCTAGTTTTCACCTGCTGTATGGCCTTGAGAGTCATTGTTATAGTCAGGGTTATATCCAGTTCGATTTTCACTGGTTGTGGTGTAAAAGATTACTGAGTCTTGGAATACACGGTTGACACTGAAGAAAGCTTTGAAATGTTCATACCATCGTTTTAGGGTGGAGGTTTTGTCAGTGAGCCATTTTGCGTTTGGCCATTTGCGCTGAGTAGGGAACTTTGAGCATGGTGTGTAAGTCTATACACGACTTTCAGAACCTCGTAGAATCTTCTATGTGTCACCTAAATCTGCACAGTTCAATCTTTTCTGCTAGATTGATCCACCATTTGTTCTGGGTGTCTTGAAGTTTCTGCTGGAGCTTACTACATGCAAATGAAAGGCTGTTTTTTTTACATGGCAAGATAGCTGAGCGAGGTGTGCTTGATGAGCAGATCTCTTTTTTATCAACAATTCCTGGATCTCTTGGATTTCATCAAACCAATCTTTGTTTCCTTTGGAGAAGATTTAACGTGTTGCCAAAGCGCTTCAAGCAAGGAATCTGTGAAGTGGTTTTCAAGCCTGGCTTGAAGTTTTACCTGGAAGCTGTGTTCCATTGTAATAGTTTGAAGATTGTTGACTTTAAGCCTCCTCCTTGGAACTCAATCGCTTTCTGGTTTGGGAAGTTAAGTTTGCATCGTATAAGGTGGTGATCTGTTTGACATTCTACATTAGGCATCACATGCGTGTAACGAATTTGAACGTTCCTCTGATGCACTAAAACATAGTCGACGAGGTGTCAATATTTGTATCGAGAATACATTCAGGTTGTCTTCAAACTATCTCTCTGCTGAAAGATAATATTTATGATGGTGAGTTGCTGTTCTGCGGAAAATTCTAACAGTAGCCTTTTGTTATCATACTTGCCATGTACTCCTTTTTCGGTTTTCAGAGTTCTTTTCTGCTCTGACGCTGAAGTCACCAAAGATTATGATTTTATTATCTGCAGGAACCTTTTGGGTAAGGTGGAGCGGGTCGATATAACACTTCTTTTCTACCGTAGGATTAGTTTGGTGAGTTGGGGTATACGAATTGAAGAGAACAACATGTTACTTGCTGTGTAATGGGAAGCCTAACGAAATAATGCGGTCGGAATGACCTGTCGACAAATGTTCAAGTTTGAAGGCGATGAAGTTTTTAATCATGAAGTGACAAAAGTGACTTTAATTTTCGATTTTGTATTTGCCCGCCAATAGAGTCACATTCTAGTCGGCACCGTGTTCTGTGAGGCTGCCATCCTCATGGAGATGAACATCACTGAGAGTAGCAATGTCGATGCTGGGTTATGATAGTTGCAGGCAATTAGAGCAAAATGACACTCAGGAGGAAGTACACTATCCGCCTTATCAAACATGATTCTGATGTTCCAACATGTGAATGTCAATTTGTAAAAATAACTTTGGAGACAGGTTATGCTTTTGTCTTGTTGTCATTGTTTGACTTCATTAGAAGATCCCTGTCGATCGCGGTTAGCCAGCCGGTGAAGATGGAGATGAGCTTTGGTTAAGCCACCTTTTATAGGTCCTTCCTTATATGGACCAAGCAGTGCTTTTCTTGGAAAAAGCTGCCTGGTCTTTCAAGTTGTAACCGAGCAAGACTGATATTTCCGGAGGTAGTCCCGAGCGACATCTCCTATGCCCCATCCCACTTTTTATTCCTAAAGTACCTGGGCCTAACGAACTTGGTGGGAGCGAAGTTCTCAAGATGTAGGTTTAGTTAGAGTATCTTCTGAGATAAATGGGCCAAGCGAGATGGACTCAGGACTAAACAAGCTTCATTTGCCTGAATTGGGATCAGAGTTATTCGCCTCTTAGGTTATCTGAAGGCTACGCCTCTTAGGTTATCTGAAGGCTAATGAGTCCATCTTGCCCGTGAACGTACTTTGTATGGCCCTTCACTTGAGACCTGTTTGGCACGGGAGGCCCTACCGGAAGCATTTCCCACCACCAGCATGGCTGGCAACCTGATAAGGACACGCAAGCTTCTCCCCCGTGGCAAGGGAATGTATATGGGAACCTGATGATACAATGTAACTATGGTAATTAATAATGTAGTAATGAATTGCTCTTAAAAGACACACTTCTTGTGTGCAAAATAGTTTTTTCTGGAAATTCCCAATTTCTGGTTATTCTTTCATTTTTTTTTTTTGACCTGTTAAAATGACCTGTTAAAATCTGTTGAAATGTTTTTAGTGTTTCGCGGTGTTTAGAATAAAAACTGATAAGTGATTAGGACATTAATACGGATTTCACAAGCAATTTCGTCTCTTATCTCCGTATCACATTTCTACCTTATATTTACTAGTGTAGTCGACGTAACAGTAATGTATATCGTTCTTCCAACGTATCCGGTTTCACCGCATTCGGATTACGGTCCCAGACATAGTGACCAAATATGAGTGTTATCGCTAACTGATTGTACATTGAATAAATTGGAAGTAGAACATGTTCTTCACTTACATCACCATGACATAAAACAAAAAAAAAAAGTAGCACTTTTTTATTGTAATTGTAATTGTAATTGTAATTCTAATTTTAATTTTTTTGTTATAATTGTAATTGTAATTGCAATTCCAATTTTAATTGTAATTGTAATAGTAGTAGTAGTAATATAGTAATAATAGAAGTGGTCTGTATTTCTAAATCTGAATTATTGAATCATCCAAAAAAAAAGTGACAAAATTTAAATTAGAACTTGTAAGCATAAAGCGTAAATTGTAAATCAAAAAAGAAGGAAGGAATTAGTGAAACCTAATTTTGGATCAGCAAGATGTTGTTGCATACTATAAAATGACGATGCAATTGCTATCAGAGAGGTATAAAAATAGGTAAAAGTGAAACAAGCATAAATATAAGCATACATGAAACACACACATGATGCAATACCAATGGTATTTAAAAGAAGTAATGGTCGATCATAAGCTAGCATTGGACCAAGGAACTGAAAATATTTGATTGTTAAATTTTGATGAATTCTTACCGTTTACATTTAAATTTTCAACTTCTTTTAAATTTTTTTTTCTTTAAAGATTATCTTACCTCAAAAAGTAATGCTACAAGTGTTGGTGAATATAACGGTGGTGGCGGAAATATACCAAGATCCCAATTAATTAAAATGAAATGCGTTGATGCACCAACCCAAAATGAAAATACCAAAATAAGCCAACGACGTTCTGCTAAGCTTAATTTACTCTAAAATAGCAGCAATATTTTTTCAAGTAAAGATTTTTCTGGAAATTTTTTTTTTTGTAAAGTTTCTAAAAATCATTAAAATTTCTTAAATCATTTTTATAAATAAGTAATGCTTTTTGAATGCGACAATATGACAATGTAATAATACCACTGAAAGAATGAGTAAAGAATAGGAAGAAATAAAAGGAATGATAAATGGTAATAATTACAAAACGAAATGGTTGGAACATATCAATTAATTAAATACTTAATATGATAAATACGATTAATTAATTTGAAAAATCAATTAACCATTGGGATTTTTTGATTTAATAAATATGCAAAAAGTGGCATCAAAAAATAAATGAAAAATAGCGATGAGATTTCTTTTTTTCCCAATAATAATGATAGCAATAAATGGCCAAACCACATATTTGCAAATATTTCACCGTAACATTTTGCTGCTAAAATTATAATTGCCCAAAATTGACTTCTGAAAAAAAAAAAATTCATTCATTAAAATTTTTTTCAAATCATATATTCTTTTATTTTTAAAATCTTTCCTATTCATATTCATTTTTTAATCCTAATTTTTGCTTTGATTATTTTTTTTCCTCGTAATCAGTTATCAATTTACAATATCACATATTGGTGATAATATTACAGTATGACATTGTCATCATTGTTATTTTGAAGGAAATGATGATTTAGAAATTATTATATTTAGATTTATTAAACTATAAATTCTTGAAAACATAATCCAATACTACATTACTGTTAACTGGAATGTTGAACATTACATAAGGAATAAAATTTGTTGAGTAATAATTTGTTGAGTGATAATAAGTAATGATTTGTTGGGTAATTATGAGTAATGATTTGTCGAGTATTAATGAGTAATGATTTGTTGAGTGATAATAAGTAATGATTTGTTGAGTGATAATAAGTAATGATTTGTTGAGTGAATGATGTATTTGTTAAATTTTAAAAATTAAAAAAAATAAAGAAAAACAAGCAAAAACTAACACCATGCAAGAAGTAAAATTGAAAGAATTTGAAATAGGCGTAAATTGAAAACATTTTTGTAATTTTTCAATTTGATTTTGAT